TTCTTTTTCTATGTCTGCTTCTGTCTCCTTGAACCCCAGTGGGCCTCAGCAGATGGCCGCTCACACTGAGCCTGGTTCTGCTGGAGGTTTCTTCTTGTTAAAAGTGAGCTTTTCTTCTCCACTGTCGCTACAAGCATGCTCAGTGTAATAACTCAATAGAGCTTCAGTTTCTACTCTAGCTAAAAGCCAGATTTCTGCATGATTTTGCAGCCAAATTCTACACATGTAGGCCTGTTTATGGCACGACTCCATGAGAGTGGGGAGTACCAAGATGGCGGCAGAGGGGCCATCAGCAATCCAGTGAAAAAGCAGAGCTCAGTGGCAGAAACAGGCAAACTGAGGCTTGGTGCTTATCAGACTTCAAACTCATTGATGACGGAAAAATTTAATCTCTTTATTTACAAAATGAGAATTTACAGCCACCACATTAGTAGAAGGTCCTGTTAAATGTTTTTATCCGCTTATGTATAAAAGCCACCCAAACTATTTACACAATTTCTATAGGAACATTTCAACACAGCTTCCAAGCCTTTTGTTAAAACTGAATAAAATTTATTAAAAACACATTTTTGATAAAACTGAAATAAAAAACTAGTAAAAGCTTTTAGCGGTCCGCTCCTCTCGGCTGGAAGAGCTCGGCTACTCCTTACGGTTTCCTATCAAAGAAACAAAATTATTAGAAACTTTCCACAGCAGCAAACTGGAGTAAATAAGGCGATCAGGTCTCACCGTCTCTAAGAGGCTCGTTGGTTTCGCTTTGAACGTTTTCCTTGTCATGATGAAAAGCCTTGCTGGGGTCGAACCTGCGACGTTGTTTCCCTCTCAGCTGATCCAAATCGCTCTTCTGGCGGCTCACGAGTGTGCGAAGCTTCGAAACTTCCTACAAACAGAAATATTAATTAAAAAAACATGAAGCCTACAAAATTACAATTATTCATTAAACCCTATCAAGGCGAACGCTGGTTCACATGTAATGCTACGTTCACACCGCCAACAGCAGGAGCAGCAAAAACATTATTTTTGATGCTCGTACAAGTTTAGTTCTGACGCGCAGCTGAAGCATCTTTGCTGCACAGTCAAAAAGTGTCTGACTCGCAGTGGGCGGAGCTACTCTATCCTTTCTCTGCCTGGAACAATGGCAGCTATATTTGCTGTCATCAATTGGTAAAAAGTAGTTTAATATGTTTTTAGTAACTTCCTCTGTGCAGTCAGTTCATCCAGATTACCATCCTGCCTTCAAAGATTATTTCTCTGTGGGAGCCGCTCAGACCCCCACATACCGGCGCTGCGCTGTCACTGGGAATCCCCAGCAACGGCAGCCTGTGGCCTGGATGCATCTTGGCGGATTTCCACTACTTTTCGAGGCGGCTGGAAGTAGATGTGTTAGCGTTTTTTTTTTAACGTACGTAATCCAAACTGCAGGCACGAGGATAATAAAAGTGAAGATATTTTTTCGGCAGGTTTATACATTTTAAGTTAATTTAGGCGTTAATAAACTGTTTCAGAGGAGTGATCATAATGGCTGGGTAAAAAAATAAATAAATCGATTTTGGATTGATTTTTTTTACATTTTTGCAAAGTCGATGTCTAGGGAATAGGGGTGGAACGGTTCACAAAATCCACGATTCGGTTCACGGTTTCGGTTTTCGGTTTGGTATATGTTGATCCCATAAAAGTTGGGAAAATCCCAAAAAAATTAATGAAAAAATCCTAAAAAATTAATGAATTGTTATTATTTTTAATGATCCGTGGAAACGCTGGATCATTTCCGTATGTTTTGCTGCTTTGAATTTAATCATCTGGCGCATGCCCTCTACCATCTCCAAGGAACTCAGAG